TTTAAACCGTAAAAATTAACTTTAGATAAAGAAATAGAGTTTTTTCAAACGGTCAGGGTAAACAAATTCATTAACATTTATAAATAACAAGAAAATAGATAAAATTATTAGGTCTAATTTCTTCTACAGAACTTTGATTGTTCTTGGCCCAATCGCCCATTCAGGACAATAGGGTAAAAATGTAAAAATACACAAAGCCCGTTTTCCCATTTTGGGGCAAATTGGGACAAGAGAAAAAAAACTCTGTTAAAACTACAAAAATTAACTCAAGTTAAAGAAAAAGACCTTTTTCAAACTGTCAGAGTAAAGATTCATTTACATTTATAAATATCAAGAATATATTTAAAAATCTAAGAAGAAACATTTTTCTCATTTAGGGCAGGGAGCCATGACGTTAAACTTATAACAATAAGCAAAAAAAAAAATTCTGAAAATTTTTCAGTAATAGCTCAAACCCTGAATAAGTAAAATTTGAACTCTATTTTATGAAGTGCACCACCAATTTTATGAAATATCATGCAAATAGTTTTGTCGTTAACATGGAAATGTGAACGAAAAGTCACATTATACCCGAACTTTATCATATTTTAATTTTACGCGTTGCAACGCGTTAAAGCGAAGTATGATAAAACTCACAAACCCATGTTAATGACAAAACTAAGAACATAATATTTCACAAAAGTGGTGGTGCACTTCATAAAATACAGTTCTAACTTCACTTATTTTCAAGCTTCTTTATACGCTTAAATTGTAAATCAAATCCAAGTGACGCAGTTATAAATAATGTTATTTATCATTTGCAACAACAATGTTGTTTTTATCATAGATAACGTGTTGTATCTTAGAAATATTAGTGACATCTTTTGGAAATAATAAAAAAGATCGCCTTTGTTTAAATGCTTGAAAACATTTGCCCTTTAGTGATTTTTTAACAAAATGATTTTAGGCCCACTGCACAGTGGGCCAGAAACATGAAAAAGTGATCAAAATTAATGGCTACATGTAAAATCAATTTAACAATATTAACATTATAAAATCAATTTAACAATAATTCTATTTACTAAAACATAATATTACAACCATTTAAATTTTCTTCAGGTTACTCACTTTCAAAAAAGATTAAAAATTTTTGAATTGTTAAAGGTTGGTTTTGCTCATTTTTTTAATTTTTGCTCACTGCTGGCCAGTTGCGGATTGAGGTTTAGCGTCGCGGGGGGGCCAAGTCAATAAATAGGGGCGACTGGGGTTGCCTTCAGTAATTTAATCTTATATATATATATACATTTTAATTGTTTTAGGGGGCGCCGTTAGACCGTTCTAGGGGGGCGTGGGGGCAGCCCGCCCCCCACGCCCTATACTAAATCCGCCACTGCTGCTGGCCCACTATGCACTGCCTTGAATGTTAACAATTTTATGTAAGCAAAACATAAAATTTCAAAAAAAACTATTAAACACTTACTTTGCAAAAAAAAAAAAATCGTCCTTACTACAAATTCTGATGGAGGGGGAGGGAAAATGCCTCCTTGACCCCTCCCCCCATGACGTAGCCAATGTTGATATGCCCCCATGCCGTCGCCCATGTTCAATTATATTTGTTAATATATTATTCGCAAATTATATTCATAAAAAATTTTGAAAGGCGTTTTAGGAAACTCGACTAACTTGAAGAATTATTAGTATATATATTATAATATATATACTAATAATTCTTCAAGTTAGTCGAGTTTCCTAAAACGCCTTTCCAAATTTTTTTTTTTATAAAGTAAGTGTTTAAGAAGTGTCTCTGGAAATTTAACAAATTGTTGACATGGGGGAGGGGTTAATGTAAAAATAGCCAAAAGTTTGTTGATGTAATTAATGGACAGCCCCCTAGATAAATCTATGTTCTTCTAGAACATATATTTTTTTGAAAAAGTTAAATGCATACGTATAAATACCTAAATGTTCCATCAACAAAACACACTTTGGCCGATTTCGCCTTGTTGATGACTAGCATATGCCCAAAGAGCAATGCTACGTTATCCTGTTCTGCAACTGATCCCAAGAAAATGTCTCCATAGCGATGGCACTCTTTGTCGTTCAGAACTTTAGCAGCTTCATTAGGTGATTTTGGGTTTGAAGGCTCATTTAGCCTTCTCCTTTTCTAAAGACTTGGGATAATTTGACGAAAACTAACAGATTCAGAAACAACTGCAGGAAACTCACTCAAAGTGTTTTGAAAAATTAAGCGCAGGTCTTCAGATGTTGCTTCTGCTTTTTTCTTCATGGTACTTTTAGCAAGCAGCACAAAGTCTGTTTCTCTTGAACTGCAACTGTGAACAGTTGTAACCTGAAGTTTATCTTCATGAATAAAAGCTCTGTCTTTGCAGTTCATTCTTGTAAAAAAACGACACTTAAGATGCAGTTTGTCTTTATAAAGTTTATCTTTAGTGTATCCAAAATCACCAGACCAAAACACATTTGAATTTTTTCTTTCTCCTTCAGTTTCATTATAATTTTTTGATAAATTCTCTAACGACATTTTAGAATATTGAGTTTCTTAAAAGTTTCTTAAATTTTAAGTTTTAATTCGAACTGAATTTTATTGCGCGTGCAAATTAAACTGTTTATTGCGCGTGCAAATTAACTGTTCATTTAAACTGCTGTTCTCCATTGTAGGTAATGCTAACTTTGTTAAGCTGATGCGATATTAGAGTGAAAAGTCAGGAAATATTCATCGAACTCTTAAATAAGTTTCTTTTTGAAAAGTGAATTAGTATTAAAAATTTCTTAAGATTTTTTACTAGTACTAGTTTTTTATAAATTAAAAGTGTGATCATAAAATCATATTTTTGATGTTAATCATTAAAAAGAATTTTTGACAATTAAAAATTCTCGATCTTATTCTGTTTTATTGTTTTCGACATTAATCGGAAAATCACGTTTTCGAAGTTAATCATTAAAATGAGTTTTCGATCTTATTCCGATTTTATTGTTTTCGACATTAATCAGAAAATCTTATTTTCGATGTTAATCATAAAAATGAGTTTTCGATCTTATTCCTTTTTTATTGTTTTCGATATTGTTCCACATTTCGATATAAAAACTTTTCGACATTAATCAGAAAATCACATTTTCGATCTTAATCATTAAGTTTCGGTCAGTTATTTTTCGATACTAATCATTTTTTCGATCAGTTAATTTTCGATACTATTCCGCTTTCCCTTTTGCGCTGAACGACTTCTTCGTTTTTCGTAATGCTTCATCCATCATATTCTATTGAAATTAATTGTTTGAATGACTTTTCCTGAAGTCGTAAACGTTGATGCGTTTGAATTTTAAAAAATATATTCAAATACTAATAATGTTTTTAATAAAACTTGAATAATTTGTTTTTAATAAATAAAATTTAATTTTGTTCTAATTTTCCTAATATTCCGTCAAAACTTATTTTGTATTATTATTTTTACTTATATATCACAAGCATCGTTAATATATGTGAAATGCCTTATAATCACTACGATTCATAGATTACATTTATTGTCAAGATGTAGTCAAAACAATTTGTTCTTTTGACTAATGTATATAAATTTTTTATATAAACGTTTGACTAGTGTATTTTAATACTTTTGTTTTTTTCATTCTCATTTAATATTTTTTATCTGAAAAAAAAAACATGTCTTCACAAGTATTAACTACGAAAAGCGACGTATTTTTTTAATAATATAGTGAAACTATTATTAAAGCTGTTTTATCATTGATTATCATAGAATTATATAACTTAAAATACAATCTGATTTTTAGAAGTCTAGTTAACAGATTAATGCTTTTAATATACTTAGTTTTAGAAATAACGTTACAGCTCATTCATAGCACAGAGTTTCATTGACTAGATGAAAGAGCTGATTTCTCTTTTTTTTTTTAAATAGGTGTATGACAGATTATTAGCATTGTTATCCAATTTATTTCAATTTTTTAATATTACCCAATAACGTAACTGTTTAATTAGAGAAATTTTTTTTTTTTAATTAATCAAAATTGACCTTTTTTCATACCCCCTAAAACTGGCTCTTTCATACACACTCTCCCCTATGTTATGATTGTTTTCTTTTTTTAACAGTAGTAGGGTGATGGAACTAACCTTAGATTTTGTAAAATGTAAGTTATTAAGTCTTGATAACTTACATAACTTGTGTAAGTTATTAACTTTAAGTTAATGTTGTTAATATTATTATTAAAAAAAGGCAATCATAACATTATATTACTAATACTCGTAATAAACATTCATAGCATTCATATTACTAATATTATTAAAAATATTGTTGTTTATCTTAATCAAAATAATAAATAAAAAATTATATTATAGACCCTCTGTCTCCCACACTAACATCAGGGAAAATGCAAATTAAGTACTAAAAGTGTGACGATAAGTAAGGTGCCTGCTACATAAAATTTTTCGATGAAATTTGACAGGGCATAGATAAATTTTTTTTTTTTTAGATATTTTAGTTTACATTTGTTAGTTCGTTTTTGCTATATAATGAGTAATTAAAAAAAAATAATTGTTCAATTTTTTTTTTTTCCAACAATAAAAAAAGCCTCCCTCCTAATCTAAAACTTGGATTTGAACATTAAAAAAAAAAAAAAAAAAACTCCTCAAACAACTGAGTTTTTCTGTTTAATAAAAGATGCGCGAGTTTGCTCTAATCATTTTAAAGAAAAAGGGTCTATATTAAAAGATCCTTATCCCACTAGAAACCTTGGACACGATTCTGACATAAGGCGTAGAATTGCCGATAAAAGTACTTTATCTGAGCATCCTAGAAGTGTATTTGAGCATCCATATTTTTCAATAAAATTTGGTAAGTGGTGAGAAAATAGATATATCTACAAACGCATATAGTTTTAAAAGCTAGCACTACATCTAAGATGGTACAAAAAAATTTTTTAAATCGAGTTACTTGTATTTAACCTTAAATAAAAAAAAGTTTATTAAACATTTATATTTTTAAATATTAATATTAACTTTTATATTTTAAAACATGTATGTTTGTAAAATAATAAATTAAATATTATTTATATAATTTATTAATTATTGTTTATATATTAAGATATTAAACGTTTTTCAGTGTTATGAAGTTATTTAATTCATTAAGGTTATTAAAATTTTTTCGACGGAAGTTGATCGATAACCTCTTGATATTCGAACAACGAATCCATTCATAAATCTCTTCAATGAAATCGATATGGTCGTGAAGGAAAAGATTTAATTCTTTACAAAGATTAATCCACGGAAGAAAACTTTCTTCAAAATCTTTTTTCGTTAATAAAAAACGTGAGATGGATATCCACAAGATTTCAATCTCATCTTTCGGTTTCCATCCTTCAAATTTAATTGGACACCAAAAGTAGACAATGCGAACATTTGATGAACATTGAATTAAAATATTTTTTTCTTCATCACTTAAAATATTTTTATCAACACGTAACCACGATAACTTTCTTCCTGATTTTATGTAACAATTTACGAAATAATTTTCACAAGAAGTTTCGTAAGTAGTTTTTCCATCTTTAATCGAAATCTGCCACTTTCGTTCATCGACAATTAATTTTATTTCGTCAGTAAATGATGACTGACTTTCATAAAAACATTCAATGAATAAATTAATGTAATAAGATTCGAGTTGTTCATCGTATTTCTCACGACTTTGACGATATAATTTAATTAGACGACCTAGAGACAAAATAATTATTAGTTATAAATCAACAAATAATTCGTCGTGGATAGCCTACCAAAAGTCGGTAGCGGAAAAATAAAAATTATCCTACCAAAAGTTTTTTCTATTGGTTGAGAATATTACATGTCAAAACAAATTAATCATTTATATAAATTAAAAAAACTTCATTATATTTACGTTATTGCAAATTAATTTAAAAATTAATTTATATTCAACCACATAATTTAATAAGACACCAAAAAAACGTATGTTATTTAAACACAGATTCGAAGTGAAATGAATGTAAAATCGAATTTCTAATTTTAAATTTAAAACTTCGAAAATCTCCTTCGTCAATCTTTTTTAAAATAAGATATGTGAATAAATTGTACTTAACTCAAAGAGTGAAAGTTTAAATATTTGTTTATTCGAATTCGACGTTGATTGGAAACTTTAAAAAAAAGCGCTTTAAGAACAATTTAAATATTTCACACCATTATGGTCAATTTTTACAGAAACACTAAAACTTTTATAGTCTTATTAAGATTTTTATGCACTAATTTAGATGTTTGTTCTAATGTTACACCGAGTGTAATATTTTGCTTGTTTAATTGAAATGGAATCGCATTATGAAAAATTTCATTATGTTAAAGTCAAATTTTTTATCATTAACATACAATTTTAAATAAAGCAGCAACTACACAAACTAATACTTTCTTTTTGAAGAATATATGATGTTTTATACAAAAACGTCATTTAGCAAATGATTTGAACAAAGCCTTCCCAAATATTACCTTGCTGAAATTAATAGTACTAGCATAACATATTATATACAAATATTTCTTACAAATATTATATATTTACAAACAGATTTCAATTTTTATCAAAACATTTTCATCATAATTTTTAAAGAGATTTTAATAAAAAAAATAATATAAATAATAATGATAAAAATAAATTTTAATGCTCAAAAGATACTGCTATATAAATTTTAGAACAGATTTCATAAAATTTTTTACAGTTTTCAAAATAGAGTAAAAAAAAAAGTTCGTTTTTAACAGTTTCTCTCTTATGTCAACCTAAAATCAAAAAGGTTACAAAAAAAAAAAAAAAAAAAAAAAAAAAAACAACCTAAAATTATTAACTCAAGGGTTGTTCTATATCAAATCACCTAATGCCCTAGGATAACAACCTCAGCTTGATATCTGCTTAAAAGTTATGAATGGATGAATAATGTTTTATAACCAAAATTTGATTATCTGAAATTTACAGTAGAATTTTTTGATTTTTGACAAACCATAACTGTATAAAGATTAAAACTAATTTAAGTTTTTTTCCTACATTAGAATTGCATTTATTTCCACACTATTTTAAGAGTAAAAATACGCATAAAATAACATAACATAACATACATCAATTGTGAAACTAAAATAAACTCAGTTGTTTTACCTTTAGATCTCAATGTTGATGACTATCATCCAATGATTTACAAACAATCTTATAGTAACTTGCTTAACCTAGACATATACTTACATATCAATTCTTCTATTTGTTGCAAAATTAGGTTTGAATCTAATTCTTTTATTTATATGTGCTTTCTTTATAGCATTTCTTCACTTAATCACATTTATTTTTATTCTCTAGTCAGTTATTCTACAAAAAAGTGGAACAGGCATTTTTTTTCATATTTTGTAAAAATGGACACTTATATTACATAGACATAGCAAATTTTAGCACTGATATCAAATGGGTTTTGGAGATATTGTTACTTTAAAATCAGCTATTTTTAGTAATTTTTTTTTTTTTTTATGGCCATTTTGATTTTACTATAAATTTTGATTTACAAGTTACTGTTAAACTAAACATGAAATTAGGCTGAAAATTAGCACCAGTATAGTCCTTAAGAAAAGGATTTAGAATACAAAAAAAACAATTAGAATAATATCAATATAGGGATCGTACTTTATCTATAGTCTTCTTTGGAAATTATAACAAAGGAAGAAGGTCTGGTAACTATGGTATCATTAAATTTTTGCAGACTTTTTTTCATTTTATTAAAACAGAAATAATAAATATATTAAAGAGTTACATCTATTACAACGATTACATCTATGGACCATTGCAACGATTACAAGGACCATTGCCTTGTGTCTTTGCTACAAACAATATTTTCAATAGGTTTACTTTTCTTCAGTTACCTGCATTAAGCATAAGCTTTATGTTTTGATGTATTGTACATATATAAACAGCATGGATTTTTCTTTTTGGTCATTATAGATACAACATTTTGGCTTACTCTTAGTATATTTAGAAAATCCTATTTTAGAGTAAGGGTGTTCTAGTTTAAACTCAATAAATACTTCCTTTATATTGCAAAGAAGTAATCACTTTGATACACATTTATTTTTGGAGACACTTCCAAAATCAATTAAACCTAGCAATTGATGGCAGAACTGATCTTTACAATTACTTTATCAATGATATCTGATTTAATTCTAACAATGTTAGCTTTTTTTTTTTTTTTTTCTGGATGTGCAAAGAATGGATGTGCACGGCTAAACTGATTATTACAATAGAAGCTTTCCACCTTATCAATGATATCTGATTCAATTCTAACAAAGTTAGTTTTTTCTGGATGTGCTTATACTTTCTTTTCAAATTTAAGTTTTATCTTTATCAAGTATTGTCCCAGAAAATCATCTTCACCACTGTGGTCCTGTAAAGCACACCAATTATTTATATTTTCACCACTTCTTTTTGACATAAATGATGCATTTTAAAACTAGGTGTTGTGCCTAAAATAATTAAACACATATTTTTTGTTGAATCTCAATTTCTAGGAAACCACCTATAAATATATTATAAATAAAACAATTTGCGAAATTCAGGAAATAATATATTTAAGAAACTAAAAAAAAAATGAAAATTTTTACATATAGGAAAAACTGAATGTAAGTTTTGTAAACAGAAGCGCAATAAGTTAAGAACAAATAAATTTATGTTTTATATTAGTTTCATGTTTATTAAATAGATCAATGATTATAGATTAACATTTAATATTGATAGTCCACATGAATTTTCATCTCTCCCTAAATAGCTTAATGTATCTTTGATTTGGTTGAAAAAAATCAGAGACGATGGGTTACAAACCTTGAAAATTTGTCCTACTTTTTTAAGAATTAGCTCTAGTGCTCTTTTTGATTTTATTTCTGATCAAATTTTCCAAGCTTTATCTCTTTATCTGACAATCAATGTAGTTGTTACTTTTTGTTTGATCTCCTTCTCAGATAGTCATCTTTGTAATTCCCTATTCACTAATCTTCTTACTTTTGCTTTTTTCTCTGATCATAGATTTTATTGAGTTTCTACTTGTTTAAATTAATGTCGTTCAGACCATGCTATGATCTCACTAAAATTTTTATCTTGCATTTCTGAAATGTCAGATTCACTGTTTGATCACACTTCTTACTACAACCTTTTTTCCACTACTGTTTCATAGTACTTCTTTAGGTTGGCTATAACTTTTATTATGATTTTCCTAGTGATGGTACATGGTTAAATGTTTTTAATCTTATTGCTGAAAATTGTACCTTTTAACAATCTTTTGGAATCAGTAGGAGGAGGAAAATTTATTTCTTTTTGACCAACTGCTTTTTATCGAAGCATTTATCTTTTTAATAAAAGCAACTTCCTTAAAATTAAATTTTTTTTTTCCAGCTAATTCTTAATTTTTAATGCAATATTTTTGATATTTTACTATTAGCAACACTCTTACTGAGTCATCTATTTTTTAAATACTTCTTTACTGCCTATTTTCACTATTCTAGAAATCATATATGCATTTTATAGCAGTTACCATTTGCTATGTTTGTATTTCTTTTATGTGCACACATAATTATGCCTAACTTCGTTTAAAAGGGTTATAAAAGCATCCTTAAAAGCATTCTATATAATAAAATAATTTTGAAAATGGTCTATAACTCAATGTTTGACTGGATTTCAATAATGAGGTTATAGAATAGTTAACCATTTGGTTATTTGGTATGTCCCAAATATTATCCAAAAAAAAAATCAGAGGGATTTTAAAACAAATTTTTTTAAATATTAAATAAAATATTATACAAGATACTTACAATATCAATAAAAAAATATATTTATACAGGAATGTCATTTTTACTAGATATGAACTAAAAACTCAAATCCTATTTAGAAACTTTTCTCTGCTTAAATGCCTTTCCCTATTACTTTACACACAGCATTTAAAAAAAAGTTATAAAAAAATAATAAAAATTAAACCATGCTAATTACCATTGGTTTGTGTGGGTTTATTATTGAATTACATAAAAACAGGGTTGCAAAATTACACATATGTTGCTATTTGGTTCTTGTTAACTTTTCAAATTAAAGAAAAACATAAAAAATTAGTATAACCAAAAACAGTGTTGGTTTAAAGTTGAAAAAAAACAAAACATAATATTTATTGCAATTAATATTATTGCAATTAATTATCATTAAATATTATTTCAATGACCTCAATATCATTATAATAATGATATCAATATTATTACAATGATTTGCAATATTAATATAGGATTTTCTTTTTAAAATATTATAGAATAAAGAATACTGAGAACTTTTCTAGAATATTCATGAACTGCTGGAAGTGTCCAGAAAATTTTCTAAAACTTTTAAGAAAATTTTCAAAATATTCCATTATGTCTTTAAACGGTCTAAAATAAGTAATAAAAAATATAAAAGCACAAGTCAAGATTGTAAAAGCACTTCAGCATGTCAGGTGGGATTGAGAAAGGTCTAGGGCATTGCATTTACATGCATATATAGCAAGGAAGCTCCTATAGACAAGTTGAACAACATTGTCAACAAAGTTGAGAACAAGGAAAAACATTTTGCTATCTATGTAGACAAATTATAAAGCTAAAATTGTAAAAGTACTTCAGCATGCCAGTCATGATTGGGACAGGTCTACGGCACTGCATTTTACATGGAAAAATTGCAA